GCAAGCTGGTACTTCACATCAGTAGGAAGGTTGACTTTTCTTTTCTTGTTCCTTCATTCCTGAGCTGGAATCCCTAAAGAACCTTTCAACTCATTCTTGTGCTGTGAAACCACTTCTTAAATATCTTATATAGCTAACGTCATTCATATAATTATTAGAATCATCACATTGAAAAGCTCATGGAGAAATGAACACATTTAATTGGAGCAAGACTTCAGTGTTGTGCAGTAAATAAATGCAGAGGGAGAGGGTCTGTCAGATGGAAGAACCAGAACAGTGTCTCCTTTGGCCAGCTCTGTGCAGCCTAGAAGTGTTTGGAAACAATACTCTGTTATCTTCTGTTTGAAGGCTGCTCCATAAAGCAAGTATAGATTGAACTGAGGTTGTGCAGGCCGTGAAATCTTGTCAAAGATTTCAAAGAAATCTTTTCCAAGAAATCTTGTCAAAGAAATCTCAGCAATAAAATATCCAGATCACCTGGTGTTCATGAGTGCAAAATAAATTTCAGGCGCAATAAACTGCTGAACAATCAAGCATCCCAAAGGTTAGTAAGATAACCAGTATGGTAGCATCCAAGGATTAAAATTATGAATTCAGTAAGTAATGTTGGCTTTTGTGAAAACAAATATCTAGATTTATCCAGTGCCATACAAAGGATAAATAAACCTTTTCCCTAGAACACGGGAACAGTGTATGGAAAAATTTTTAAACGTTACCATCTGAGTGCTTTGAAATATATTGGTGGTCACCATGAATCTCAAGTTTGGTTCTGTGTTCCCATCTCTTTTCTCCAGTGCTTAAAGGTGGAAAGGAGGGCACTGTGGTAAGCCCTTTTCTTCTGAGCATTTTTCCTTCAGAAAACCTGTAGCAGCACTGGTACATGCTTTTTCTGAGACATTCCTTCTGCATTTCATATCCTGTTGAACGAGTCATAAAATTAGATGCTAAAGATACCATTTTAAAGTTAATAGGACAGTCAAAATCAACTCTGTAATTGTTGGCATAAGCTTAACAAACTAAGTAACCTGTTCCAGGCCTCAGATTGGTGTTTTTTAAGAAAATAAACAATGCAGCCTTATAGATTCATTGCACAGTTTTACTTATTAATAAACCAAGATTTTGGCTTTAAGATAACTATGTTTTGAATATATGCACACATTAAATATTAAGTCAAGAGAAGCAAATTTGTGCGTTACTTCTAGATAGTTTCTTACGTTTCAAAAAGAGAGCAACTTCAACTATTTATAAACTGTAATTAAGTTTCTTTACAACATGACTCATTCTCAACAAGCAAGTCCTTTTTCTTTTGCTTTCTTATGAACTGTGTGGGAAAATTAGGGTTCAATCAGTGAAGAATTTACTCAATGCTTAATTACCCATAAACAGCCCTCCAAGCTCTGCTCATGTAGAGCTTGCATAAAGACATGATTTTCCCCACACTATGGCTGTCTAAAAATTGACTTTTAAAAAATGATCTGTAAATTGTAATGTAGGAGAAAGCAGTGTTTTACTGGATTCTTTCTCCAGTCTGCTTCTTTGAATTCCTCTTACATTAACAGTGTGATGCTTAGGAGAGCCAAAGTAAGAAATCATCAGATTTAAATTACTTTGAGCATGGAACTAAATTAGAAAGCTTTACTTTCCTGAATGAGCTAATTGTTTAAATTTTCCAAAGGAAATGTTTCTATTTCTGCAAGTGAAGGGGTAAATGGGACTTCCTCTGACATAATTTTCGTTTTAAATCTTGAATTTGACAGCAGCATTTTTACCTTCATAACCAAATATTACTGCTTAACTGCATGACTTGTATAAGCTTGCTAGTTGAAGTGACTCACTTACGCAGATGAAGTTATTTTTAGGGAGATAATTTGCACTGTTTAGAAGAGAGGAAAAAAGGGAGAGAGAGTCCTACTAAGAGCTAGATCTCTCATTATAGTTTACAGAGCTCGTGAACCCAGCATCCAAGCAAAAGATGACTAAGCAAGGGGTCTATTGGTACTTTCAGGAATTTACAGACATGAGTCATCTGCTTATTTTCTGCAGACATATCACCAGGGTACTTTGTGAGTCAGCTGTTATTTGGAAATAGTACTTGTATTCAACATGAGTACATTTTTGTAGTTCTTAGGTAACTAGCGTGCCAAACCAACACAGGCTTTTACAGTTTGCCTAGTTCAGGTGTTAATTTACAAAACTGATGTGGTGTTGTTATCTGTGATGCATTTTTCATGGCAAAGTGTGTATGTTGTCTTGCATGTATTTACAGTAACACATTTGCCACCTTAGCTATTGCATGAATCAGATGTGATTTTGTGTTAATGTACAGATTGAGAGACAGACTGCCTACACATGACCAGGTAAAAAGAAAAATTTTCTTTAGCAAGCCATGTGTGATTATGAGCAGAATTTAACCTTTCATGTCCAACACGCTATGCCAGCATTAATTACCAGTGGGTATTTGCTTATTTTTTTCATTCTGTGCACTAACAGTGTCAATGCATGGGCATCCACTGGGACGGAAGCAAGTTCTTGTCTTTCTTTCCTATTGCTGAAATAATAGCTGACTACCTTGAGATATGTATAACTCTTTAAACTCAAGGTTATTTCCTGTTTACTGGCCTTTTAGGTGTGGTTGTGTTCCAGAATTAGGGACAGGTTTTTTTACTTGGTCTGCACTCGTCCACACCTTATATTAAAGAAACACTCGGGTTAGAAAAATGGAAGTTTGGTGATTTCAGGTGAAGGGCAATTTAAGTTTTTCAAAACTCTGCTTGCAGTTCAGCATAATATTGCTGTTGTCCAGATGTGGGATCACAATTTTGAATCTAGTTTGATTATCTGATTTATGTGATCAGCTTATAATGTAATTCCTGAAAATTCCTATACAGATTTTGGTTAATAGAATATATTTTGATGGTACCTTCTCATAATAAATGCAGATGTCACTGTAGTGAGAGCACTGCCTTGATTATCCATTTTAAACAGCATTTCTGGTGCTGGGTACTTTGTCCTGAGAGCCCATCTTTAGTTTTAGGGAACAGGGGAAAAAAAACTGTTGCTGCTTGCATGTGCTACATAGATGGCAGTTTTGAAAAGAAAGTTAATGAAATTCTCAATTAAGAAGTTGAGTACAAGGACCAAACCATTATTTGAAGGCTTTGCTCAAGATTGTTATTCCTCTCACATGGTGATAAAATACAAAAGTTTACAGACTTGGTTTCTCTTAAGGAGTTAGTACTTAAGAATGAAAAAGATACACTAGACAAACAGTTTAAGCACTCAGAGCTGAAGTAGTATATTTATAAGATTAAAATAGAGACTCAGTCTTCTTATGGACTCCGTGGTGGAGTCCTCCAGAGACCGAGGCACACACCATTTGTGAGAGGAGGAGGCAGCCTGCTTGCTGATAAATGGCCAGGTTACACCAATGTTTTTCACGGTTGTTATTTAGCAATCACATTATCAAGAGGAATTCGACAGAGCAATCTTTGAATCTAACCTTTGTTAAAGCAGTGATCTGCCCTCAAATTAGCAGAACTCTGCCCATGTCATTACCGCTTAAATATCTGCTGGAAGCTGCTGTGTGGGCTGAGTCACCCCGGCTCTGGGAGTTGTCACGTGTGGCTCAGACACTGGGTCATGAACAGAGCAGTGCTGTCCTCCACGGGAGCATTTGGTGTATTTTGGGACTGTGGCTGGAATAGCACATTTCATTTAGCGTGCTTCATGGCTACAAGTGCTTTCACTCCTGGAGCTTGGAGGGTAGTTTAGAGAAAAGGGAGATATGGTGTAGCTGATGCACATCTGAGTATTTAGATGTGATTGGATAAACTGAAAAATGAAGGAACTAGCAGGATGATAGCATGGAATCTGGGAAATCAAACCTGTCTTATAATGATTCCTCAGTCTGTTAGCAGAGATTTCATAAGAAGGGCTGGAATCTCTGGAAGTATTTAAAATACAGTCCCATTATAGTGTTCTTTCACTGTACAGAATTTTAAAAATGTGATTTGGAGGACAGCAAACAGTACCGTTTTAGGTGCTTTATAAATGAAGCCTACACTTCTAAAATAAACTAACATTCTTCTGTTACTTTTGGTGTTAGATTAGATATTTAATATTAGTAATTCAAGTCTGTTGTCAAAACTCAGTTTAACTACAGATTTCTGAAGCCTCCTGAAATAAGAAGTAGACCAAGAAAATACAAACTATAATTCTAACAATGAAAAAGTTAAAAACTAGTTCTGAACATGAAAACGTACACAGTTTCTAACTGTTGTAGACTATTTTATTGTTCACCAGACCTAGCTGATCATGAGATAGTGATAAGCAAAAGGAACTAAGAGGTTCTGATTTTTATTTTTAGTGGGATATTTTGGGAATTAATGACTTTGCAGTGTGTTTTTAGATTTGTGGGTGTTTTCTTGTCTAGCAGATGACAGCAAGTTGAAATCTTTTCCAGCTCATATGACTAAATCTTTCTACATTCTATATCAAATCATTTGATCACTTTAGGACACAGACTGCTGTAAAATAAGGATGATAATTCTTTTGATTTCCATGAGGACACTAAAATTGTCGCTAATTGACATTAATATTGGTTAAAGCAGATAAAGATAATTTTTTTTAAATGGAAAGCATAATAGAATGTATTTTGTGAATTTTTGAAAGGGAAGATTTTTACTGTAAAAGTAAATTTTTTTAACAACTGAATAATCCTAGTGGAGATTTTATGATTGACATAGCAATACGCCAGCTAAACTTTTTTTAAATCACATACTTTACAAAAGTGTTTTGGTAAAGCAAAGTGTCCCATATAGCATTGGGTTGGAATCATTACTTATAGGAAATGCAGAAGGATGTTTTAGAACTAACCATCAGTTTCTCCTTTTCTGACACCTTTAAACTAATAGAATGGTCCGATATATTCTCAATAAGAAAAAAAGAAAAAATACACTGGTATATTTTTATAACTCTTTTTTTTTCTTTTTGTATTGCAGTTGACCTACCCCTGTACTTTCCTCGAGACCAACCAACCCTAACATTTCAGTCTGTCTACCACTTCACTAACAGTGGCCAGCTGTACTCCCAGGCCCAGAAGAATTACCCATACAGCCCCCGATGGGATGGCAATGAAATGGCCAAGAGAGCAAAGTAAGTCAGATTGCTGTTTCCTACTAAGCATTACATTTGTTTCATGGTCTTTGGTGGGTAGAAATGTCATGGATATAACTGTACATTTTCAGCATTACAAAAGCTGAACCTGTTCTTGTTCTCATATAGTCCTGGCATTCCTGTAGATGAGCACAGGGAGATACTTGCTAGTCATGCTTATTATATTAGTGCCAGAGGACTGAACAAAAGAAGGCTCGTTCTGCTAGGCTTTGTATGGCACAGAGTGGTGATAGTCTCTGCTCCAGAGAACTTCCAGTGTAAGTAGATGAGATAGCCCCCAGCAGGAGTAACCTGCATGGTAGCATCAGTCAAAGGTAGCTCCCTGGGGTTGTGTGGGTGTTGAAGAGACCCTGAAGGGAAGCATGTGAGATGGAGAGAGCAAGGAAGAAAAACCTGAAAGATCTGGTATTAGGCTGTAATGAAAAGGCATGGAAGAAGAGGAGGATGTAGAGCAAACCACCATTCCAGTATAGGAGGCCCTATCAGATCTTGAGAAGGCGTATCAGATCTTGAGACAGTTATCTGAAAATCTGAATATCTCTTGCTTTATTGCTTTTTTGTTGGGTGGAAACAGAGAATCACCGTCTCCTTCCTCTGCATTTTTTCTGCAAGCCCTTGTTTTGGGCTGAGGAGAGATCACTTCAGTCTGTGTATCCCTTCAGTTAATGATGACAGGGCAGCCTCCCAGAGAGGTTCTGTTACAAGGGCAAGCTGCCATAGGCAGTGGTGTCCCCAAAGCTAGACGTTGTCCCTGTCTTGTCACAAAGCAGAAGAGATTTTACCTGAATGGGGAGATACAGGCAGCAGACTTACTGAAGTGTTTTGGATTTGCAAAGTGTAAAAAAAAAAAAAGTTAGAGCAGTGAGAGATTTAAGCAGGCTGATTATCAGTTGTTCAGCATGTGAAAGCATCAAACTGCATAAATCACAAGGCGTATTGAGATGAACATTTTGAATGACTGTCAGAAGATTAAATTAAATCAGCAAACATGCATAAAGAAGAGTTGAAACAAAAATAGTTCAAGCTGAGTAAATCAAATGAGTGGCATGGTCAGAGACTGTAATTTGGAAATGATGGAAGCAAACAACAATTGACTGATGCATTTGTAGATTTTTATATAATTTAAATTCTATGGAAAACATCAAAGTAACGTTTGTTTTGGGATTTTAATATACATTGTAATAATAATTTTTTGGTAGTATTTGATTTTGTCGCCATACGGTTTATAGGAGCACCACTTCTCGATCAACTACGATTTTTTTGTGTGTATGGACTTTCTTCTTTTCTCTAGCAGGATATTATGAGTATTTTGTTTATTAAAAAAAGAAGCACAAAAACCTGAAGCATCACTGTGACTTTTTTTATGGCCATACTACAAAATGCATTTCTTTTGTAGCTGAAAGCTTCTAAGTACCTATATGCTATCTGCTAAGTGCATTCATTTACGAGTGGGTGTATACAAATGGACTTCACTGCCCTGCACTTGAAATTTAGAAGTATAACAACAGTTCTCTTTAAAAGCACTAAATGTGTACACTTACTATCACATGTATGTTTGGTGAGGTTATTCACTCTTACGTTTGAGCCCTCTGCACTTCAGTTCTCCACTGGGATACGTAATAAGAGAAGGATGATGAGAAGCGGGGGAAGACTGTGCTGAGGTGTCTGAAATAGCTGAGCTGCAGAGACACAGAAACTGCTCCAGTTAAAAGCGCTTTGCTTGCAGGAACAGCTAGTGATTCCTGAGTAGGTACCATAAATAGATCTGTATCAAGACAAGTATGATGTTATGATACGTGTGAGCGTATTTTAAGGAAGATTTTTAACACAATTGAGCATCTTATGTAAACAGTGTTTAAAATATTTGCTAGGGCTTCTTAGAATAGGTTTGTGTGTTTCAACATAACCAAATAACTTCTTATTCAACGTAGTTAGTTCAAACAACACATGAAAACTTCCCAAATAAAAACAGGGAAAAAAAACATTATTTACCCTCTAGAAACAATGTCATTCTGCTCTACTGAAGTAAATTTAGCCCTGATTAAATCAGAGACAATTTGTTTGTGTTTCTAAATACTGTCAATTAGGTTTTGCTTATATGTAGTCTTTTTCCCTCTTAGCAAAATGGTCTCCCAAGTGCTCAACATTCTTTGAGACAAAACATCTCTGTTTATCTTCCTGGCCATTGCTCTAGGGCCACAGGATCTCCCACTTGATATTCCAATATCTGACCAAGTTTTCCACCCTTCTTCTCAGACTTCAGGGATCAGTATGCACTATCTTCCTCACTGGGGCTAAAGACACCATCAAGGATAGCTTTTGCTTAAATGGCATCAGTCAGAGATTTCCTCATCCTCAATTTTGGCAAGTCCTGTCTCCGTTTTCAGCAACTCAACACAGCCTGTTTATTCATGGGCAGAGCTGTCATAAGTTCATTCCAAAGGGACTTTGATTCTGTGCCCAGCCTTCTCCCAAGGTTGTTTTGGTGTGGGTTGTTGATTTTTTTTTTTTTTTTTTTTTTTTTTCCGAACAGGTGAGCCCATCCAGTTCCTTCAGTGCAGGGACTAAACTTGAAAGTCTTGGTATCCTTGCTTATCTCTGTGGCCCCCAGCAGAAGTAGACATCTCTTTTGAAGTTAGGACTTAACCCTTTGCTGTAGCCTTGAGACAATCAAAAGTAACTATAGGCAGGAACAAAATTAGTTCTCTAAAATGCACATATATATAAAAGTAGATTGTATGCATTCACACCTAGAGACATATCAGCTAAATCTAAAAGGCAAATTCTTCTATCAGAGTATCAGTTTAGCTGGATCTTTTTTATTCAAAGAGAAAAATTGCTCATGTTCTTGCTGAAGTTATTGGACCAGTTTATATCTGTCTGATAAAGTCCATGAAGTCAAGCCTCTTTTCTGTGTCCTCTTAGGCAGATTTTAAAATCGCTGGGCTCCATTGCAGCCTACTGACTTAGATTCCTCACTGAGAGATAGCATCTGGTAACTGAAGCTTGCTTTTGTCTTAGCCCAGAGGTTGCCCTCTGGCTTTATTTAATTCTGAAGGATGAATCAAGTCCTGATTTAATAATGTGATTTCAGTTGCCTCCAGATTGTTTCTCAGTTAACACAAAATTTTAACCTGTTTCTCCAGCTAGAAACTGGGAAACCAGTAACATTAAAATTTTCTTGCAAGCTGCTGAGATGCCATTTCCTCTCAGTTGGTATCTCAGGCTTTGCCTCTTGTAGGTCATTTATTTATATATCTGTGGCCTCCTGCGTAAGCAGCTTCTCCAAAAGTTTTGGTCCTAAAATACAATGGCAAGCCTAAGAAAATACAGTAAATTATGGAAACTTAGCAGCCTTGTTTGTGGTGTACGTGTGAAGTAAAACATCTCTGTGCAGTTTCCATGGGAAAGCTTTCTTGTCTTCTTGCTTAAATAGGCATTCAAGTGTACATAAATGGAGTCTTTAAAGAACGTGCAGACTTGAAGCCTGGGATTTTATGAAGGAACACTGTAAATAAAGCTTGGTTGTTTATACAAATGAAATTCACTTCTTAGATGCACTCTGGCCCATTTTCTGTCCGACCCAATGCTGCTCTTGTAGACTTAGATTATACTTCAGGGCAGAACAAGTTAAAACTCAGTTTACTCTTTTATCCTACATAAATCCACCTACTCATCATTAAAAATAGCAGTAGCATGGAAAACTGGTATCACAATAAGAAGTTGTTCCAAGGGTTCATATTCCCTTTTTTTCCAGGTTGGCTGACAAAACAGGTTTCTGAATGACAATGTTATCCCTGACCATTCATGGGTGTTTGCTGAATGTGGTGTAAATTTTATATATCCCTTAGGGCATTCAGAGGGTGAAGGCTTCAAAGAGCTCAAGTGCTCTCAACTTTATATTGGCTGTTGCTCTGCCATGAGGTCAAGTGCATCTTCAGATTATATGCAGGTGCATCTTGTGCAAGCCACAGCTGCAGCTTCAGTTTGTGCTCAGCACAAGAGTGCCTTGATTAGGAAGTGTCAGGGTGGTGAACTGGGCCATAGCATTTTCAGCCTCAGTGATGCCTTTTCCTTCAATGTCAGCAAATAAGATGATGTCTATCATGTGTGTGACTGAGACCCCCAATACAAGAAAGACCTTGAAGTGCTGGAGCATATGCAGAGAAGGGCAGTGGAGCTGGTGAAGGGTCTGGAGCACAAGTGCTACAAGGAGCAGCTGAGGGAGCTGGGGTGTCCAGTCTGCAGAAAAGGAGGCTCAGGGGTGACCTTACCAATCTCTACAGCTGCCTGAAAGGAGGGTGTGGCCAGGTGGGGATCAGCCTCTTCTCCCATGTAACAAGTGATAGGACAAGAAGAAATGGCTGCAAGTTGTACCAGGAGAGGTCTAGTTTGGATATTAAGAAAAATTTCTTCCCCAAAAGGGTTGTGAAGCCAGGCTGGCCAGGGAGGTAATGAAGTCACCACTCCTAGAGGGATTTCAAAGGTGTGTGGATGTGACAATTCGGGATATGGTTTAGTGGTGGGCTTGGCAGTGATAGGTTAATGATTGGACTCAATAAACTTAGAGGTCTTTTCCAACCTTAACAGTTCTATGATTACGTTTACGGATGAAAATGTTGCATTTCTTAGTCTAATAAAAGGATATTTGAGAAGAAAAAGGGACAGTTGTGTTGCTGTTTAGACATATCAGTTGCAGTATGTCAAAGACATTCTACGTTGCTGTTCTAGTCAGTAAATTTTGTGTGGGCAAATGATTTCTTTTTTGTTATTTTGACATTAGCCAGTTTCAACTCATCCATTTTTTAATTATTATTCAGATTTCTTTCACGTTTTAGGCAGAATATCTATTACCATATTTCAAATTCTTTAAAAATAACTTTCAAAATTTTCATGAAACTTTTGAGTTCCAGCAATGCTACCATGAATCTCACTGTAAAATTTACATGTAAATATTACACTCTTTTTATATCTTCTCT